GGAAATGGAAATCGGTGACTGGAGCCGCAATTTTCAGCATTACCGCTCCGACCGTATTGATTCACTTGGTGGAGGTTGCTTGCTACTAGTGCGGCAAGTGATCCGTCAGACAGCGATGCATTTCATGGTGAGCTCAACAAACATTCAATCAGCAGCCTGCATTCTGCACGTGGATAATGCATTTCATGGCTAGCTCAACAAACATTCAATCAGCAGCCTGCATTCTGCACGTTAATCCCCCCCTCATGGCCGTTGGGATCTATCGCAGCCCAAGCTCATCACACCAAGAAGATGAACTTCTTCAGGCCTTGCGTGGAGCTGCTAGATCAGGATATCGACTCTTGATTCTAGGTGATTTCGACGCGCCCACTGTCAACTGGGCACATCAATCGTCGCGGAACTGGGTTTCATATGGCTCTGCTCAACACCATATCCAGTTTAACCCTGACGCAGCATGTGATGGTACCTACCAGGATAAGACCTTGACAAGTACCCTCCACTCTCGATCTCGTTCTAACGAGGAATAGCAATGACGTCGCGGGAATGGGGACCGGATTTCCTTTAGGCAAAAGCGACCACTCACCGGTGTTCTTCAAATTTCATCCACTAGAAACTCCGAAGCCCAAAACTGGAATTCGGAGATTCCACAAAATCAACATTGAAGACTTGGTCAACGGAGCAGAGAGATTGTGCTGGGACAATCTGAGCTCCATAGAGGACACCTAGAGCCGAATGAGGGACAACATTGTACTCCTCACGGAGGTCTACGTGCCTGTGAAAACAACGGGGATAAGGGGACAGACCTTGGTTCCGACCTAGAGTCCGCCGAGCGTTTAAGAGGAAACATCAGGCATGGATGGCGTTCAACAGGTAGTGAAGCCCCCTGCTCTTTGCACGCTTTAAACGTCCAGATAATATCCACCCAGCCGTCATAAAACCGATAGAATCCTTAATGATCCCCCCAACTAGTCACAATGTTCAAGGACTCTGAACACGGGCCGGATTTCGGAGGACTGGAAACATGCCAGGGTTGTCCCAATGTTTAAAAGGAGTAACCAATCAGATCCGTCCAACTATCGTCCGATCAGTCTCACCAGCATCGTTGCTAAGCTCCTGGAGTGTATTCTGCGAGGCTACATAAGCGCGCATCCTTCTTCAAATCGGTTTCTTTTGCAACGACCAACACGGATTCATCAAAAGCAGATATTGTCTAACAAATCTGTTATGTTTCCTGGACGTAGTAACACAGAAATCAGAAGAGGAAACGAAAGTCGAAGTGTGCTACCTGGACTTCCAGAAAGCATTCGACTCAGTTAACCACAGGTTGTTAGATTTCAAGCTCCGGGAACCTGGGCTTAATCCCAAATTCTGTAACTGGGTTAGAGCGTTCTTGTCCGGGCGGACCTACAGGGTTCGTATGCGGGGATGTCTGTCGGAGGTGGGTTCCCATAAGGATGCATCCTAGCTGTCCTCTTCCTAGTGTATGTCAACGACATAACGTCAGGTTTGGAGAACCCCTGCTTTTTGTACGCGGATGACATCAAATTAGTTGGAAATCCGGACGATAGGTACTCCTTGCAGAGTAATATCCTAAAGATATACGAGTGGTCGCAAAAATGGGACCTCCCACTCAATGCATTGAAGAGTTATCTGCTAGCCGAAATAACGCATCCTGTCCCTCGTCAGATCCTCACTACGGCCGGAGCATATGTAACCCTAGCTTCCAAATCAGAGGCAATGGACCCCGGGATACGAGTCTCCAACAGCTTTTCCCCGTCCTCTATCGCTGTAACAGCAGCCTTAAAACCCGGCGAGCTCTGTTTAGACTCCGAACGGCAATCACCAATCGTTGTTCAAGTGTATTCATGCCCCTGTACACAGCCGTCGTAAGGCCTCACCTCGAATACTGTGTTCAGGCTTGGGCACCATTTCTTCGGAAGGACATCAAAGTTCTAGAAGACGTTCAGCGGCTAGGAACCCGGATGATCTGGGGTCTAAAAGAACTCAGCCACTCNAAGGACATCAAAGTCCTAGAAGACGTTCAGCGGCTAGGAACCCGGATGGTATGGGGTCTAAAAGGACTCAGCTACTCGAAAAGACTGAAATCCCTGAACCTGTTTTCTCTAGAACGCCGGCGGATGAGGGGGGGACCTCACTGAAGTGTACAAAGCTACCAGGAACATGGAGCAGTCCCCCATTGGGCACTTGTTCATCCTGCGGGCCAACAACATCCTCCGAGGGCAGTGTTACACACTGGAGAGAACCAGGTGCAGGATAGCAATTATATACC